CCCCACAGGTCGCTTCTTTGATGAGAATGAATCGCCAGCAGACCCGCAGCACGGATCCAAGCTGGCTGACTACAATGGGGACGACGGCAACGTGGGCGAGTATGAGGCGGACAAGCAGGCCGAGCTGGCCTACAATGAGGAAGAGGATGGTGATGGCGGGGAGGAAGATGTCCAAGGTGAGCTGCTGCTTCGGGCTGTGTTTTTTTTAAATAAATGAATAAATAATTCCCCCCCAACCCCCACTGCATGGAGACACTGTCTCCATCCTGTCTGTCTGTATGCATGTGTCTGTGTGCCTCAGATCATAAATTATATCATGACAAACTAACATAACATAAATGATTCTCTTACTGGGGACTCGGGAGCCCCGCAGACCGCCCTCATTTTGAGATATCAGTTTAGCTGATAAGGTATATGCAGACTAGTGTGGTAATGTAAATACATGCATCACAATCAATATGTTATTCAGGGTGACTTAGGGCCGGTGTGCTTGTTACAAGGTCTCATGGGGAGGAATGTCACACATTTTGTAACGGCTCTGACACATACTGGTTTAGTTGTTGGTGTAGTTGCTGGTTTAGTTGCTATAAGCACCGTACCGGTCACTCATCTAATGCTAGCTGCCTTTTGGCCCAGATGACGAGGACCGCGAACTGCAGGGAGACCGCATCGTCGGCTACGGGAAGCGGCACCAAGGCGCGGACATCCTGTAGACCACCAGGAGATGAGAACTTCAGTAGGATCACGCATCGAGAAGGACAGAATGTTCAGTGATTCGCTGGTGCCTAAGCTGGCAGCCTGCTAATGGTGGGGTGGGGGGGGGGGGTTTCACTGAATAGTTCTTTTTAACCCCCCAACCACACACACACACACACACACACACACACACACACCCTTTATAAGTGGCATTCAGGTCAGGGCATTGGAAGACTTAAGGACACAAAATGAACTGGACAGTTGTTTGCATAGGAAGCCTTTAAATCCTAAACTCGTTACATTTTGACAACATAATGCATTTCCTTATGTGCCACAGAGCGATGCATATGCACACATGTAAGGATAAAGTATATAAATATTATTCTGAAGAATCTACTCTGTTGTGAAATGAAAGTTGTGTATAAATGAGAACGTGTCCCCAGCAGCTAATGCAGACTGCCCATAGAGTCCTTTATGTGTATAAATGAGAACGTGTCCCCAGCAGCTAATGCAGACTGCCCATAGAGTCCTTTATGTGTATAAATGAGAACGTGTCCCCAGCAGCTAATGCAGACTGCCCATAGAGTCCTTTATGTAGTCAGCGACAGCCCACCTATACGTGGGAAACTGGACTTTCCCTTGCTCCGTACGCCCCGGTTGCCGCTGCCTGCCTTCGCTGGACCCCATAGCACCTACGGACTCGGTCATGTTCGTACTCCACCAGGACATGGATTTTCCCTGGGATGTATCTACTTGTGCTCCCCCCCTGTTTCCCTGATGAACGGTTGTTTCCAGCTAAAACAGCTTTCCCCCTTGGCGATGTGTAAGGACTAAACAGGCTGAGTTACTGAGTGCCTGTGCTCTGGAAAAACTGCTATTACGGCTGTTCACCCAGGAGGCTTCGCAAACTTGAGCCGGAACCAGCGGAGCCAAGGACATTTCTCATGTCTACTGCCCCCCCCCCCCCATGATTTTGTTTTTATTATGATTTTTTTTTTACTTATGTAATGGTCCGTGAGGCACATTGCCTCTAGCAAGGTAGTTGCTGCATGCATTGAAATTGTAAACTTTGATAGCAGCCCCCAGAATTGCGTAACACTGCAGCATTTGCATACTCCGACATACAGGTAGGGGCTCTGAACTTTTGCACATCTGGAGTTTAAACACTCCAGCTGTTAAAGTTTTTATTTCTATGTTCATGTACATAGATTAGGATTTTTTTTTTAAACTGATCTCTTGGGGAGGCTTTGTTCTTCCTCACTATTTAAGCAATTTGCTTAAAACACAGGAGTAGAATATTTTAGATTTTGTGCAGATTTTAAATGAAATGAGCGAATCAGCATATTTAATGTACCCTGTTTTAAAGGATGATTTAAGAACAATACAAAAATTAAGGTGAATTGGATATAAAACATGCTTAATTGTCTGATTTAACATAGGACACTTTGATGCCCAGTAAAAATGCAGTAGTAATGTGCATGAGGGTTTTTCTGTTAACTGTAGCCTCTGGTTCTTTGCATTGAGTGCCCAGATACCCCCCCCCCCCTTGAAAAGTTACCTGCGATGACTGTTAGTCACCATAATATGAATCATAATAAAAATATAACCCTGAATACAATGTAATCTTAATTTATTAAAGGAGGTAATTTGGTTTGCTTTGAGTCGAATTTCATGAGCCTGGTTTTGAATTGTTTACAAAAAAAGATTTACAACAGAAATAATTTTCTAAACGTAATCAACAGGTGTAATGCAATCAGCCCAGTGTTTTAAAATTACTGTTCAGAGGTTTTGGAAACAAAGTAAGTATTTGTTACCAGAAGTGTCTGAGAAAAGAACCTTAACATTTTCTATGGTTTCTAAGGTGGGGGCTAGTCAGGTATTGGGCACAGTTGGATGCAGTCTGGCATTTAAGCATGAGAGAGGCTATCAAGTTAGTCCTATTTGTATTTGTGGAGCAACGAATTAAACCAAAAAAGAATTTCAAATGTTATTTCTCTATGGTTTAACGTTCTTCAAACGAAGATATTTTAACGTACGACAACCAACTACTGTATGACGTTTCAGTTTGTATTTATAAAAACTTTGCTTCTACATTACAAATGATTACTAATATCATTTGGTAGACTAGAAACGCTGCAACAGCAAACTGCAAATTCTTATCTTTTGTTCTGTTAAAAGGATCTTGCATGTTCAGAAACCAGCGCAGCAGCATGTAGTTTGTTCCAGATTAAAAAATAAGCCTTTTTTGTTCCTTGAAGCATGCGCCGAAGACATGGTCTCCTTTACCTCCTATAAGACATCGCCATGGCGACCGCTGCACCCCCGCCCCCCCCGTTCGGGTTTCCCCTGGTGGTTCTATTGTCCGGGTGCGTTCAAGTGAAATATAGATGAACACGCGCTTCTGGCCATTACTGGTAGGGGGTGTTTCTTTTGGATATTTCATGTATTTGCATATCCGTACTTTCTGTAGGCCGTTAGAAAAGAAGGGAAAGCCCAACAGCTTTCGAATCTCAGTGAGTGACGTTTATGTATTTAAGCCTTGGGCAACCTTCGAATAAACCATTAAATGGTAAATAACTAAAATAATGACAAGGCAACCGGGGCCGCAGTAATTAGAGTTTTGTGTTTTTCCTAACTGGAAATTCTAAGAGGAACAAAACACTATCATTCAAAAGCTTTGTTTTAGTAGGTTCTTCGCTTCATAGATAGTGTATTTTTGTGGAAGAAATTTCAACTAGTTATTTTATATGTTGCAATGGTTTCCATCCGCCTGGCTTTAAAATTTAAACGTACAAATTCACTGAATGTATAACAATGCATTCTTTAAAGTTGCGTCTTACTGTTTGCCTACCTCTCATTTATGGAAAAAACTGAGGGGGTGTGGTATGGAGTGTAGCTGCGCATGCGCCGGCGCTCCGCTCATCCGGGGATCTGCCATTGAGACTGTTGGTAAGGAGGCGGGAAATGGCGTCTGAAGGAGCAACGCCAGAGCGGACGGACGATCTCTGAACGGAGCTAGCCAAAGGCAGCGTGAGACAGCGGCCGCTCCCCACCCCCGCTTCGTCACTATCACTGCGGCCACCAGCGGTCGGGCAAGGGCAGCCACCTCGGAGAGAAGACACTGCGGCTCCTGGCGACCGGGTGAGCGCAGGAATTCCCGCGGCTTTTCGGTGTGAGGGATTGTGGGTGTCATACGAGCGGCTACATGTTGACTCCGGCGAGCTAACGGCGGCGCTGCGCCTGGACGGTGCCCCTAATAGCGCGTCACTCACGGCGTTTTAAATACGGCCGCGCTCTATACATTTTAGCTCGGTGATTAACCAGTTCGCTAACGAAATAGCCCCGGCCGCTCAGCCTGTCCCGCTCTGGGTGACCTGCCGCAGGCAGCTGTCTCACAGGTAGCTGATGTAGAGCGGTGACGCTGGCTTATTAGTTAGAATTAGCTGCCCGGTTAATAGACTGTGGTTTATATGCTCCCACCCGAATTTAGCTAACTAGTTATCACCTGTTTCGCGGCTTTTTATCTTAAGCTGAAGGTTTACTGTAAGGCTTAAACCGTGCGGCGAAAGGGTTCGCCGGTCATTGTAAGCTGTCCGGTAATTGGGTCGTTTTTATTTACATACCTGTTCGAATCGCGTTAAACTCATTCAGGCGGGTTATTTTTAAAGGTCACGGCCTGTTTTCTTACCATCCGCCCGGGCTGGAGTCTGAAACCCAGCTTGTTTCCCCGTTGCCGCCCGCCCGCTTTTGGCTTTTGCGGCGCGCTGTGGTGTCTCTGCGGGAAGCCGCGCTAGCTGAGCGGGCCGCCTTGCGTGCAGCCCTCGCCAGCGAACTCGCGGTGCCGCGGTCACCAGGTTTGTCGCGGCGCTGAACTGATGGTCCGCAGCCGTGATCCGATCCGGGGGCGTAGCTCATCGCCTCGGCCCCGCCGTGCGGAAACTTGAATAGCCTACTTGCTCTCAAGTACTGAAACGTTTTTTTTTTTAATCTTCACGTTTAATTTTGATTTCAGAATGTGAATATTTTGTTATCTGGGTCGTTAACACTGCTTTCCTCATGTGTAGTGGTGATAGATTGGCTGTTAGTGGTAGTCTTGTGTCATACATCAATAATAAAGCCTATTACCCTCGTGTGTGTGTGTGTGTGTGTGTGTGTGTGTGTGTGTGTGTTTGTTGTGTGGGGTTTTTCTTAGCATCCATTCGTTTCAGTTTACTGCTAAAATTAGCGGTGCTAATGGTTCCGTCTTGTAAACAAAACATATTGTCTGAAAAAGCAGCTTTCACCATTTAAGTGCGATCAATCAGACCCTGAAACGTGTTGTTGCGGGAACAACTGCCCTTTATCTCGATATAAAGTGAAGTTGCAATCACGAAGGTAGGTGTAGCTTTGAGTATGGACGGGCCGGCCAGCAACCTCCTGTTCGGTGGGGTGACGGTAAGCAGTATACCGTTAGTCACCGAGAAGTCCTTTTGTGGTTTGAAGCTCACTCCGCCCTGGGAATGAATGCTATATGTTACCAGGAACGGAAAAGTCTGATGGCCATCGATGATAAACAACATAAGGGTTACAGTTTTTGTGAGCAGCCCATTAACAGTGCCGCGACTGCACGGATACATATTTAGGAATAAGGGCGAACACTGCGTGCATCCTACCTTTAAATCGACCATAGACCGACTAAACCACTGGAATGAGAGCCGTTCAGTATTGCTACAGCTTTGTTGAAGTCTCGCTAGTTGCTGGTGCAACAGAAGCAATTTAAAATAATCGAAGCAGCCGCCAGTTGCTCAAAAGACGCTTTTCGCTCTACTATTGCTCTGACGTTCAGACAACGGTGTAGGTGACAGATTTGGCCGCAGCATCTCTCATGGTTATACGGTCATTCCCCTCGGGCAGCCTGGCCCTGGCGCTGACCCACGCTCTCCTCCCACATTCCGAAGGCAATTTTGAGGGCTGCTACTTCCAGATGTATCTTGGACCTATTCAGTGCTGCGGATGAGCATTCTGAGTTCCATATTTTAATATAGTAGGTGATTTTACTAATGGAACTGAACGATAAGTTTATAATTTTGTTAATCCAAATTCACGAGCTATACTGTCTGTGACTATTCAGATGCAGTGTGGTGGTAGTTGATGTATCTACATCTCTGAATGGTGCAAAGTATGATGCTGCACTGTTTGAGAGCAGCCCAATTTAAGATCAAGTTATCCAAATAAAATGAAGCTTGTTTGGGAAAACTCGAATTGCCCTTGTAATATTAATCTGATCCTGGTGTGGATTTCACAGAAACTGAACAGAAGCATAAGCTAGAGTGTGTGTGTGTGTGGGGGGGGAGGTGCTCCGTGCATCCTATCACTTTTAATATGAAATAAGCAGGGCTAACTTAATACGAAGCACACCTCTAAGAAGCATAATTATTGGTCTGAATTAGATGTATTCAGTTACAGGTGCTTACCTTTAATTCAGTCAAATATCTATGTAAACTAAACTTCAACCCTATTATTCACTGGGATGACTTTTTAGATTACAGGATCTGTGCAACACTGACTGAATGTTCTGAGTATATGTGCTTCTCGGGCCCCTGTGCAAGTGAGCTGGTTTGGGCTTTCTGCACCTAGCAGCTGAGTGTTACTTCTGCCCCCCTGAAATCAATCAAAAAGCACTGACTGATATTCTCTGAAAGTGATGTGTATGGAAATGCTGAAAACCGTCGAAGGTCTCGCCAAGGGCAGTGCAGTAGCAGAGATGTGATGCAGGATGTTTGTGCTCAAACTGAAGGCTCCGTTACTGTGCTGGACATAGGTGGCAGAGTCTCTGCCTGGTGACACCTTTTGTTTATTGATTTGTGTTTTGTTTGGGCTGAGCATTTGAAAAAGTCACTATTTGGCATCTGATTTTTATATATATTTTTTTTGCAGTTTTGTAAATTTAATTTTTGAAAGGATCTGTAATGCGCAAACTGCATATATAATTAACTCTAGTGAACTATGTATTAAAATGTGAATTTTTGTTTTTAGTCATAAATGCAGTATATTTAAGGTTCTTTTTCAGGCTGTGCATTATTATACCTTATGTTGGTTGTACATTAATTTTGATTAGTTGAGGATATCAAAGCTGGATGCCTTATTAGAAACCACACCAAGCTTTTGAACCTGCAGCCTTCTGTCTGCTTACTAACCACGTTATTACAATAGTTTGCCATTATTTTTTTTGTGTTTTCTCTTGGTTTTCCCAAAACATTTTCTGAAGTAGTCCTCTGAAGTGGTGGATTAGTTATTGCCCTGGCTACTTGCAGTGCAGGCAGATTTCTGGGATATAGGAATTGCATCGTTTGCCTTGCTGTATCCCTGTAATACAGTGAGTGTGTGCATGTGTTCGCCACACCCTCCTCCCCTTTCAGTAATACATTTATAACAGCTGCTTGTAATTTTAGACAGATCCACTGGTAATGTTTGTGAGGGGGTTAATGTGTAGCCAAAGCATAGGTACAAATAGTTGCTTTTATAATTTGTGTATTTTTCCTAAGCTGATTTAAGTAAGCAGACAGGTGTAGATTTTGGGCAATGCTGTGTGTGTGTGTGTGTGTGTGTGTGTGTGTGTGTGTGTGTGTGTGTGTGTGTGTGTGTGTGTGTGTGTGTGTGTGGAGCATTGAGTGAGTCATGCTTTGTTGCTGGTAAAAAATATGCAGAAGCTGGAACAACAAAGCTGCTGCCAGCCACAGTCACTGCAGCCAGATGTGGTGCGTGCTGCTGCCTGCCACAGTCACTGCAGCCTGATGTGGCGTGTGCTGCTGCCTGCCACAGTCACTGCAGCCTGATGTGGCGCATGCTTTTCCTTGGTGTTAGCGCACTCTTGTCTGGCCTTGTGTAAGTTGTGGCTCCTGCAATGTAACATTGTGATGTTTACTGTGCCAGGAAACATTTGTAATATTTTATTTTGATGGGTCTGTAGGCCTATACCTAACCTGGATTGGTCCTTGTGGTGGTGTTCCAAAGATCTCCAGTAGATTAGTGTTATGTCTTTTATGTTTTTAGTAGTTTTTTTCTTTAGGGTCCTACCTTTTATTAAACCTGCTAGCAAGGATTGTTTGTATCCTGTTGTTGGGTGTCTAGTTTGTCTACTTTTCTGCAGCAATTTTGTCAAGTACCTAGTTTTACCGTTGTCTTTTGTATGTGTGCTTTTCAGTCTGAGAATGGTCTTGATAAATGCCGACATTGCTTATTGGGTCACAGGATCTAATGTGAAGTAAGGTTTTACAACTCATTCTTAGTGGGAGAAGTACATCTGTCTGATTGCATTGTTTGGATTGATGAGCCATGGGTTTATATATGGAAACTGCTGTCCTTTTTTCAATTGCTGCCGTTCACCCATTCTGAAAGCTGAGTGATTATTAGGGTATGTGATTATGATAAAATGTACAGGATGGCAAAATGTGTCCAGTAGGCAGCAAAAATGCAGAAGGAATGGAATGGGAACTCTGAGTTTTTTCAGCAGCTTGAGAATTGCATTTTTTCGAGATGTTTGAAACTGATCAAACAAACATTACTGTTCTCGGGGGGGAATAAATGGACATTAGTCATGTACACAACTTTGTCAAGGTGTCCCAGAGTGTTTGAATGAAACGGTGAATCTGATAGGCACTGAGCATGTCTGAACATATTTCAGCCAGTGTTACATAAGATGCACAATGGGCATTGGCAGTGCTTCTGCTTTCCTGGCTGCAGCTTCAGCTCCAGAGGCTGAAATGGAACCTCAGCAACCCCTGCTCCTCTTCATTGACTGGCTTTTCCTCAGAGCAGGAGCCTCCAAACCAACTGCAGACTAATGTAATTTCTTGGAAGATCTGGTGTCTTATTTTTCATATATAGCCTCAAAAGCTGTCACGATTAAACTTCATTACTTTTTTTTTTAGCATCGATTTAAAATTTGCCTTCTCATTTACTTAACAATATGAGGAATTTGGGCAGTAGTGGAACCCTCGGTTCTGTAGGAGCACTTCATTTTATAGCGTGATTGCGATGCAACTACATCTTGAAAGAAAACATTCAGGTTTGATGGACTGGCCCAGTAATCCAAGGTTAGCCATAGATTACTATGCTGTGTGTCCTTTAGCTTCTTGAGGACTAAAACGAAGGCTGGCCACATTATCTAGCCCAATATGGTTTTTGTGAATTTGTGTGTGCTGAGTAGGGCTGAACGAAATTGGGAAAAGTGTTCATTGTGATATTTTAAATTTTTGGGATACTCTGATATTTATGAAACCAATAAAGGGTTGAAAATGTACCTAAAATCAACTACAGTCAAATAGAATTTACTAATAGAATCAGTCAAAAAAGCTGATGTTGCTGCTGTCGGTTGTGCCAACGGACACACAGCAGTACTGACATCACTTCCTTTTGCTCAACATATTTTATTACGGTGCTGATGAACTTGAAGAAAAAAAATTCCGTGATATACTGTGAAACCGCCAGAATTTTTTTTTAAATACTGTGAAGCACATTTTTGGTCACGCCACCCACCACTTGGACTTATCTATTAGCACCATCTAAGACGCAATGTTGCATTAGAGTTTTCAGTGTGGCAATTAAATCTTTAAACTTTTTTAAATATTAAAGTTGTCGGGTGTTTTTTATTTTTTATTTTAAGGGTGGTAGTGCTGACCATGGCCTGAAAAAGTTTGCAAAACTTCTTTGTGAAATATCTGACTGCGTCCCTGATTTTTGTACCTCGCACGCCTCTGCATGGTGTAGCACTGCACTTTGTGGCATATTTTGCGACATGCTCACTTTTGTACCACTTCATTTCATGACATTTGTATGACGCAAGCTAATCCCGTTAATCCTTCTTTACATAACATCAGGTGCATTTTACTGACTGCTTTTGACTAATCTGCGCCAGCTCTGAACTGGACATTAAGCCAGCTGCTCCCATGCTGGATTCTTTATGTTCTCTGTCTGTTTAATAAATGCTCCGCATAACACTTGCACATGTCTGAGTGCTGTTTTTATGGGTCTGGTTAGGTACCCTAGTCAGGGTGGGGTGACTGTATCTGTCCTGGCAGTGCAGGGTGAACCAAGTGTATAACCAAATACCATGTCGAATTGTAAATTAATATAACAGATATGGGATATTTTAGGTAATAGTGTTGATCCAAAAACTGGAAGTAGACACCTGGAGATAATGTTTAAAATGACAAGCAAAGAGAATGTTTTGTCCCAACAGAAGTGCTGATTATAAATCTGGAGGTTGGTTGTTCAGCTTTCTGCTGCTGCCTGAACCGTAATCTGTATTGGAAAGTCAGGCTGCATCCCTCATTCTGCCGTTATTACCCTCCTTCAGAAGTACCAAGTGTTTAAGCGGAAGAAAACTGGGCCAGGGTTTGTGATGGGTACTGGGTGCACTGGTTAGTGAGATTTTCTGCAGAGGAAATGGCTTCGAGTGCAGCCACCTGTTTTAGCTGCGGTGTCTGGGTGTGCCCTTTGATAGTCAGCCTTGTCTGCATAGTTTTTGCTGTAGGTCTTCCTGGTCTTCTGCATCTGTTAATTTAGTCTGATTATCCTAGTCTGAAGATGTTGATTTTATAATTGTAGTGGCTCTCCCTCCGTTTTTATTACTGTGGGTATTTTGGTCGTCACCATAACTTGCTGGTTTTTATGTCTGATCCTGTACCCCCTTCCTTTCCTGATTTAATTTTTTTTCTTTCCTCTCTCTTCTGTCTTTCCCACCTTCTTAGGCTTACATGTGACACTTAAGACAATGAGGCTGAGAATACGCAAGCCTTCTCAGCAGGTGGGCCTCACCCATGCGCCAAGGCCGTCCCAGCCCCCCCGGACCAAGCGGAGACACTCGGAGGTGGAGGCGTGCACGGCAGCTGTGGGGCGGCGAGAGGACGACGCAGGGCTCTTCTCCTCCATCAGGAACTTCATTAGAGGCACTGCAGTCAAGGTATCTCAGTGATTCCCTTCCCCCAGAGTGGCTCTTGGCTTCCCTGCTTGTGTAGTGTGTAACACCTGTCCAGCTGTCTGATCTTAATCTATAGTTTAGGAGCCTTGATGTTTGTTTCACCAGAACTGTAACACCTTTAAGGCTTCTGCTAAGGGACGACAGTCTATAAGGAGCCGGCGCTGTGCAAGGGATGTGTAATCGCTGTGGGCTTGCTGTCAGATTAGCTAAAATAATGAGAGAGCTTTTGTTTTCTCACCAGTTAAATTATTACCATATTCCCAAAAGACAGTGGATTTGCTCAGTGAGTGCTGTAAGCCGATATGCAAATTGCTCTTTCCTGCTGCTTCCTTTGAATACTGCCTTTTGCCTGAAAATCAATGCCATTGTCTCTGTAGTCCATGCAACCATCCAAAAGTTGGAGTGAATTTGTTTAAAGGCTAACGTTGCCCCAGAATTCAATATTTTCGGAAGACCCGTGTTTCTGGGGCGTGTCTGGAAAAATAATTTTTGGTCTGATTTTGTTTGGCCGTGCCTCATGTTATTTGTGTGTGTGTGTGTGTGTGTGTGTGTGTGTGTGTGTGTGTGTGTGTGTGTGTGTGTACTGTAGGAAAAAATGTCAGTTGGTGGGGTTCTTGGTAGACAGCGGGGGGAGCATCAAGGATGGCCATAGGTTTTGTTAGTGGGTACATGCTGGTAGAGAATAAAACACAAATTCAGTTCTCTTGACACAAGGAGCCATATGACTCACGCCGGCATTGCTGTGAGTTTTCCATGTGCCAATGGAACGATAAATTTGAAAGGGCTCTTATAAATGAAGGCGGCCTGTTGTGCACTTCTAAATAACCTTTCCTTAGTTTAACACCACCTTACTCATGGCACAGAGTGTGTGTTAAGGGTACTTGGACAGAAGTATGAGCAGAAAATCACTTAATATGTGCTTGTATCTTATCAATAGCTTAATGGCCATAAATGTACATTAGCTCAGGTGGTTGTGTACCATTCTGACATCATTAGGTGTTAGTGTTCATTAATGAGCTTAATAGAGCAAAGCTGTAGTCATGGCAGAAGTGAAGCTTAGGAATCCATGCTGGGTGGAATCGCTGTCTGCTGTCAGGCACCAGCACTTTCAGCTCTCCTCCTGCTGGCTACTTTATTGGTTCCTGTGGGGTTATAACCAGGCAGTGATACAGCACACAGGATGCTTCCTCGTGTTCAGGTGAACATTGCTTTGATCTTCAGGTAGTTCAGGAGAACCCTCCAAAGAGGAGCCGAATCGACTGCAGTGTGGATGACAGTCTGATTACGTCCACCCCTCAGCCGCAGGGCCTTTCCAGCAAGGCCGTACGCAGAGCCCGCAGGAGGAACCCTCTCAACGGCGGTGAGTCAGTTTCTCTGGGTGCCGAGCCTTAGTCAGGACCCCCCCCCATCTAGAACAACCCAAGTATTGCTGCAGTTTTTTTGATATCCTCCCTCTCTCCTGCATTAAGCCTTTTCAGATTCGGGCAGTGATAAGCTGTCATCCTTCCTGTTCTCTTTTGGTCTCTGTTTGAATGTTGAGGTTATAATTCAGTTCTTCAGATAAATTCTTGACTTTGTCTGGTTTAAATGATTTAAATGTTCCCTTTTTAAGCAGATGCCAAGGACCATTACACGGGCAAGCTTGGAAAGCCCAATGGGAAGCTGGAGGCGCGGGCAGAGGTGGCTGGTAGCCCACCCCGCACCACCCTGCTGGGGACCATCTTCTCCCCAGTTTTTAACTACTTCTCACCAGCAAGCAAGAATGGTAAATGGCATGTGCTGGGCTGGTTTTTAGGGTGCTTTGTCTAGGATGCTCGGAGAAACGTTATGAAACGCGGCTAAGGAAGTCTCTCTAATCTGAGTTACTGCTTTGGTTACCTTATTTACTTAACTCATTGTCATCTTGATAAACTGTATATGTTTTCCATGGACCCTCTTGGGGTTTGAACCAGTTACTTTGGTGTTGGTAACCGTTTTATTGCAGCTGACTGCCCTCTTATCCCCCCCAACCCCCGCCATGTGTATTGCCTGCGCCTGTAGGAACGTCGGGTTCCGATTCACCTGGTCAGGCAGTGGAAGCGGAGGAGATCGTGAAGCAGCTGGACATGGAGCAGGTGGAGGAGACACCTACCAGCACAGCCACATCCACAGAGAGAGCCTGCATCCCTTTCTACCCCAGCAGCCAGCCACCCGGCTCTGAGGCCCCCACTGAGGATGGGGAGATCGTCACAGATGCTGATCTGCCTCCTCTCACAGGTACCTTCCGGCGGATCTTCTTGGTTCTAATATTTTTAGCCGCTTAAGAGCTGCCCCAATCCCACTGCCTCTCTGCTGTCGCACTCAGCCCCAGGTGCTACTCCAGATCCCAGCTACTCTGCGGTCCTTCCCACCATGCCAGCAGAGGGCGCCTACGAGGAGGACTGGGAGGTATTTGACCCGTAAGTATGACTTGCACTCCCAAGTTAAACAAGCGCTGAAACGCTCGGCAAGCTAGTCTTGACCTATGACCTTTTGTGCATCTTTTGTGTCTTGTGTTACAGTCCTTCGGATTGTACCACTTGATTTGATAATCATGGGGGCAAGCGACCCTGCCAAAGCACATGACCTAAAGATACCAACAAATATTGATAGGAGAAATGAGGCTTCAGAACCCACGGTGGGTGGGATTATTTTGCACCCTCAATTACCTGTCAAACCAGCTGGTTTAACCCACTTCCCCCTGGTTACTTTGTTCTGATTGCGTTAAACCAGTCTGATTGACAGCTCTCCGAATCCCCTCTTACTGGGAGCGTCCGCGCCCAGTTTTTTCCACCCCTGCTAACTGTGGTGTCTGTGTGTTACCTACTGACTAATGTGCTCTCATTGGCCCTGCAGGTATTTCTTTATCAAACACGTGCCCCCGCTGTCGGAGGAGCAGATGACCCGCAAGCCGGCGCTCCCGTTGAAAACCCGCAGCACGCCAGAGTTCTCCCTCGTCCTGGACCTGGTGAGCTCTTGGTCCCCTTACTAAGGCTTTGCTTTGGATTTGAAAGGATGGAGTTGATCCTATTGTGGAACCCTTGACTCTTTTAAGCATTATTTGTAAAGTTCAAGCTCACTTACCGGATGAGCTGTTTTTGGTAATAGTTTTTTTTTTTTTGTATTAAATTAGCATTATGCCCCTCAGATAACATCCTTTGGTTTAATTAGTAATGTTGCAGCTGTTTTTAGAAAATTGAAGTGGAGCACTCAAAGGAGCAAATGTGCTCAGAGTACTGAAATGTCAAACCGTGTGACATGGAGATAATCATTTAAACACTGTTCTGCAGTATCGAGTAGCTCAATCTCTCTGTGACTGACACTGGACCGTTAAGTTTGACTCATCTGGCATGTGTAGCCACATCTTCTGCAGTCCCCCCCCGGCCCCCCCAGTATCATCACAGCTGTGGCCTGACGCGTACATTCACATTGAAACTGCTGTGGCTGATGTAGTTTACTGCCTTGTTTGGTAATTTGGGTCCAAGTAAAGACTGAGCGTAATCTGTGTGTTTTATTGCCTCTTCTATCTAAATGCTGATGTAGAGCAGTCTTGATGAATTTGTCATTTGATCCCCTCACTAAATCTTGGTCTTTTCCATAGCAGAACAATAGTCTCTTAGTGATAATGCTTTGTTCCCTTGTATATCTGCAATATCTTCTTTGTCAGGACGAAACACTGGTTCATTGCAGTTTGAATGAGCTTGAAGATGCAGCACTTACATTTCCTGTTCTCTTTCAAGACGTCATATATCAGGTAAGAGACACTTTCCTAACAGTTACAACTTGACTGGTGTTGTTGACATCAAGCACCACTAGAGGTCCTACTTTTGCCACTGTTTGTAAAGTGTTTGGAGGAATGAGTCATCCAACCCTGGAATGGCAGGACTATCATGCACTATTAAACAATAGTAACTCTTTGGTTAATACTTGATTCCTGTTAGATTTAACTAGTTCTGCCTGCCATCAGTTTTTTTTGCATCTTTGTTCTTTTTAGTTTGTTTTTCATGTTTCTGCGGTCACCCTTGTTAACTCGATGCACCGATGAGCTAGTTGCCAGCATGTGCATGTGTAATAGACACAAAACTGCTTGACTGGGGTGGTTGCCCCTCCCCTAACAGCAGAGCCGACCTGTCTTCATTTTTGCAGGTCTATGTTCGATTGAGGCCATTCTTTCGAGAGTTCCTTGAGCGCATGTCTCAGATTTATGAGGTATGGGATCCCTGTCTTTTGCCGAAGTTGGTGTGTCTGATCACATTGGCCAATGTGTATCTGAACAGTGCTCTAAGGGCACTAATGTGTGTCATTGGGACATTTGGTGTGTCCACAGATCATCCTTTTTACTGCCTCCAAGAAAGTTTATGCAGATAAACTGCTCAATATCCTGGATCCCAAAAAACAGCTTGTCAGGTAGGTTAAAGTGCTTCCGCCAGTTTTGTGTTTGTCTAGTTACTATCTCGTAACATGGTGACATGTGGTACACAACCATGTCATTTTTTGGATTTTTTTTCCTGCTTGGATCAGTAGGTTTTACATTTGTATGAGGACACTGTGATGGCAGTTTTATTGCATGATTAGGTTCCGGGGTAGAGTCCTAATTAGTAATTATATCCTTCAGCCTGCATGCGTGTCTGTGCAGAGGGATATAGTTACAGTAAAGACTTTGATTGGTGGTAGAGTGCATGTTAAGTCTTCAGGAGTGTCTGGTTCTCTGTTATGGATGCCTTGTGTTATTGATCAGGTTCTCTAGATTTAGGAATACTTGATGTTTGTTTTTTTTCAGGCACAGGTTATTTCGTGAACATTGTGTGTGTGTACAAGGGAACTACATAAAGGATCTGAATATTCTTGGGAGAGATCTGTCAAAGACCATCATAATTGACAATTCACCACAAGCCTTCGCTTATCAGGTTAGATGTTCCGTCTCATGTCTAGTTCTCATGCTGAAGCTCAGATGTTTAGTATTTGTCCAGCGTAATAATCTTGGTTACTCCCTGTACTTCCATGTCATAAACAGCTCTCCAATGGGATACCCATCGAAAGCTGGTTTATGGATAAGAATGACAACGAGCTTTTGAAGCTGGTTCCTTTCTTGGAAAAACTTGTGGAACTGGTACGTGTGAACTCCCGATTATTTGGGCGCATGGCTGGAGTACAGCCATTACGAATCCTCTTCCTAATCTATAGATTCAGAGTGAGCTCGATCGTCAGGGCAGACAGTTGTTTGAAAAGCACTTCAGATGGGGCCTGCTTTAGGTGAAACTCCTGCGGTCCTGGTCATTAATCCGCTCTTCCTGTCTCGCAGAACGAGGACGTGCGGCCCCACGTACGCGAGCGGTTTCGCTTGCATGACCTGCTGCCTCCAGACTGAGCTCTGAACCAAGGAAACTATGGAAACGACCAAACATCTCCATACACAGACTCTACTGCTCCTCGGATTACAACATTCAGCGTTGCCATTACTGTTGACATTTTTAGTTTTTTTCCCTTTTTTCCTTTTAAAGCCCCTCATTGCTTTTAAAATGGTTATTGTAAAAATAAATTTAAAGTTTTTGAAGTGACATCTATGGTAAAGTTTAAGTATACATACAGTACAGATATACATATATACATACCTATTTTATATATAATATATATTCTCACACACATTCTATATGTAGGCAAGGAGGGTCCTTTTTCTTTAGAGTGGTTGTTCTCGCCTGGTGGCCGCTAGGGTTTGAGCGGAGCAGCACTCAGATGCTGCTCTGGCCCCCACATGGAGGAAACCTGACATGCTGCACAGGAGATGAACTGCCCCCACTGACTGGTGCCCCCGCACTGGGACCATCTTTGTTTGTCTCACGGACTCCTTTTAGCTACGTTGGCCAGTAAAGCAAGATGTGCATCCTTTACTCTGAGGGTTAACAGGACAAAGGCTTTCATGAAGCATTTCCCTCCGTTTTGTGTGTCTGTTGGTCCCCTGTTCTCCACCCCACCTCTGTGCATCTGCCCTTGCTGGGGGTGGGGCGCCCATGGCTTAATGCATGCATCTCTTGTAATGTTTCATTCATTTTGCTTTTCTTGGGGCTTCTCCTTGTTCCTGCAGATTTTGTGTCCCTTTTTATTTTTACCTGTTTTTGTCCCCCCCCCCCCCCCCCCCCC